GGCCCCCCAGACACACACAGGCTGGTGGAGAGTGCTGCACTGGAATGGGGCGGGGGGGAGATTTTAGGGGGGTTCAGTGCATGGGTGCACAAGAGCATGGAAGAGAGCGTAGGTACGGGTTAGAGCTCCTTATGGGTGCCCTGTAGCTCCAAGGGACTGGCAGGACAAAGGCCATTAGCCCAGGAGGGACAGAGGAACAGGGTCATAGAGATGGCGAGGGGGCTGCTGCATGCCTGCCAGACATCTGCACAGGGCCAAGACGCAGCAGAATTTCCTCTTGTGCTGCTGAAAAGAAGGGAGACGCTCTCTTCCCTCCACCCCAGGAGCCCCTGCGACTGCCGTGCACGTCCACGGCACTGCAACACCGAGGGCTGCTCTGCAGCTCTCGGGGACACTACTGGAGAACAGCGCAGGAGGGCCCTCGAAGGGAGGCAGCCAGAGGTCTGGAAGGGATCTGACTCTTGCCTCATGGCATGGCCACTCACTCCTGCGGGTAGGACGCTGTAACAGCAGAGACCTTCCTCTGAACCAGCTGGGACTGGTCTCTCTTGGGAGACAGGATCCTGGACTAGATAGAGCCCTGGTCTGATCCAGCTGGCAACTCCCGTGTTCCCAGGAAATCCCACCCAAGAGGCTCAACCAGGGCTTGGAGCCAAGTGTCCAGCCAGCCACTGCTGTTAGTACTACAGTAGCTGCTGACAGCCGCAGCAGGATGGGGCCCTGTGGTGCTGTACCACTGGCCCACGAAAGCTCATCATCTAATAAACCATCTTGTTAGTCTTTAAAGTGCTACATTGTCCTGCATTTTGCTTCATGCAAAGACCAGGCCTGTATCAGAGGGGCTGACTGTCCATGCCTCCCCTCACGGCTGAATCAGTATCCACAGACATCTTCTCCTGCAGCCCCCGCCAGTGGGAAACCTCAGCGATCACCTGGCATTTTCCTTCCCCTCCAATTACGACACCGCCTGAGGACTGGGGTGACACGGACTGAGTTCTCTCCACTTCCCTGACCTCCCCCCCCATCCTGGGACAGGGGAAGAAGATCGGAGAGTCGCTCAGCAGAGGTGCGAGTGGCCGTCACTGGGAAAACGGTGCCTGGCCATGCCAAGAAATTCCATTTCCTGAGGGAGGGTGCAGGCAAGCGGCGAGTCACGGCTTTGACGTAAAGTGAAAGAGACGATGACTGCAAGGCTCCACCCAGCCCTTACAAAACAGCCACTACCACAACAACTGGGAAACCAGCCATGCCGGGCTTTCTTTTGAGGTGTGGGGCCGCCTAACCTGATCAGGGTGCGGGAGGGAGGCTGGAGCAAAATAGATCACCTTCCTTCTTCCACATCAGCTTGTCCTTGGGAAAGGCAAAGGGATTTCCTTCCCTCAAAGTCGGGGCCATGACCCACGTCTCTCCGAGTTCCAGGAAGCCAGTGAGTTCAGCACCACAGTGTGGTTTGCCATCGTTACCAGTGCCCCTCCTCACATGGCTGGAGGGTGGCTGACCTTGGCAAACTCTCCAGAGGGCATGAGGAGCTGAGGGACGTCGCAACGGGCCAGGGTGAGCATCTCCCTCAAGGTGCAGAAAGGTCTCATATTTGACCAAGATCGCTTGAGTGTTAATGGCTCTATTTCTGGTGACCCTCTTCCTTGGAGCTCCTCCAAGCCCTCCCTGCCTCTTGGAGTACATAGGAGAGGGTGACCTCACTGCTCAGATTGGAGAAAGGACCTTCTCCAGAGCCAGCATCCTAGAGGGTCTCATTCTCCCGGGAGCTTCAGGAAGTCCTAGCAAAGGCCACGAGAACTATTTCCACCAGCACGCCTCACACGGATCCATCCACTCCCCCTCCCTCCTACCACTTCACTCTTCTGCTGCTTCTCTCATTTCCCCTCCCTGCCTCCTCCCTTCCTTAACCTTCAGGCGCCTACCAAACATCCCCCTCAAAACACAGACACAGGGCCACGGGCTTGTAATGGGGAGACGGGAAAGGCAATTCTCCCATCCACACACTGCAACAGGAGCACCTCTCTGCGTAACCTCACTGCCGTGGGCTGGATTCTCCAGTGTGGGGAGACCACTTTGCATTGCATCACCAGTGGAGTCTGACACCAACATGGCATGACCAGCCCGTCGCAGAGGGATCCCCTGGCTGCAGAGCCAGTAAAACACTCGTCCCCGATGCTGGTATCAGTGTAGCAGAGAGATGTGAAAAATGAGTGTGACCTAGATAGGCCAATCAGTAGCTGTAGGGTCAACCTTGTGTGCCAACCTAGTGCAGTGGTCACCAACCAGGAGATCGGGATCTACCAGTCGATCTTGGAGCTTCTGACTGGTTTGGCCAGGAAGCTATCAAGTGCTGGCACTTCAGTTACCCCTCCACCCGATTGTCATGCTACTCCTGCCCTCTGGCTTGGAGCTGCCCCTTGGGAGCCTCCTACTTGCTGTGCAGGATGTGGGGGGGAAAGAAGGGGAACACTGATGTCAGAGCATCCCTCCTCCCTCTACTCCTGTACCTTATCTCCATGCATGGAGAGGGGGATGGAGGGAGCTTGGCAGTGCAAATCTGTCACTCTCACAAACACACTGTCCTTCACTCTGGTCTCTGCTCCCAGGATGCATGGGGCTAGAATCCACCACCCTGTGCTCCCCAGGCAAATGCTGTATCCCCCTAGGCCACTCCAGAAGCCTCCCCACCTCCTGACTTTCAGCAGGTCCCTTATCCTGCTTTCCTACTGCGGGAGCCAGCTGGAGTTGGCTGTCTGGCTGCTCCCAAGGTGGGCAGGACCCCCCCTCCCCAAGCAAATGCCATATCCCCATGTCCACTCAAGAACTCACACCACTCTCCCTACCTTCAAAGGGTCCCTTATCCTGCCTGGGTCACTCCCAGGGTGGGCGGTGGCGGTGGGGCTGCCTAGGGGGGCGGAACTTGAACCTGCCACCCTGTGCTCCCCAGGGGGAATGTCTTATCCCCATGTCCACTCCAGAACCCACCCACGTCCCAATCTTCAGAGGTTCCCTTCTCCTGCCTTCCTGATGCGGGAGCCAGCTCCATTCCTGGTACAGCCAGTGTTGCCTGTCCCACTGCTCCCAGGGTGAGCAGGACTCAAAGCCACCAGCGGGTCCATCCCTGGGACAGCCTGTGTTGGCTGTCCAGCTGTTCACAGGGTGGGCGGGGATCGACCCCATCACCAGGCTAA